ACGTAACTCTAAACACCTGCAAAAGATTCCTGAGGCTTTTAAAAACTCCCAGCCTTGTTCATTACTCAAAACCACAATCATGGGTAAGACTGCCGACCTGACTGCTGTCCAGAAGGCCATCATTGACGCCCTCAAGCAAGAGGGTAAGACACAGAAAGAAATTGCTGAACAATAGGCTGTTCCCAGAGTGCTGTATCAAGGCACCTCAGTGGGAAGTCTGTGGGAAGAGAAAAGTGTGGCAGAAAACGCTGCACAACGAGAAGAGGTGACCGGACCCTGAGGAGGATTGTGGAGAAGGGCCGATTCCAGACCTTGAGGGACCTGCGGAAGCAGTGGACTGAGTCTGGAGTAGAAACATCCAGAGCCACCGTGCACAGGCGTGTGCAGGAAATGGGCTACAGGTGCTGCATTCCCCAGGTCAAGCCACTTTTGAACCAGAGACTGCGTCAGAAGCATCTCGCCTGGGACTGCTGCTGAGTGGTCCAAAGTTATGTTCTCTGATTACAGTAAATTTTACATTTCCTTTGGAAATCAAGGTCCCAGAGTCTGGAGGAAGAGAGGAGACACAGAGTTCACATTGCTTGAGGTCCAGTGTCAAGTTTCCACAGTCACTGGGGTGTCATGTCAGCTGCTGGTGTTGGTCCACTGTGTTTTATCAAGGGCAGGGTCAATGCAGCTATCAGGAGATTTTGGAGCACTTCATGCTTCCATCTGCTGAAAAGCTTTATGGAGATGAAGATTTCATTTTTCAGCACGACCTGGCACCTGCTCACAGTGCCAAAACCACTGGTAAATGGTTTACTGACCATGGTATTACTGTGCTCAATTGGCCTGCCAACTCTCCTGACCTGAACCCCATAGAGAACCTGTGGGATATTGTGAAGAGAAAGTTGAGAGACGCAAGACCCAACACTCTGGATGAGCTTAAGGCCGCTATCGAAGCATCCTGGGCCTCCATAACACCTCAGCAGTGCCACAGGCTGATTGCCTCCATGCCACGCCGCATTGAAGCAGTCATTCATGCAAAAGGATTCCCGACCAAGTATTGAGTGCATAACTGAACATGATTATTTGAAGGTTGGTGTTTTTTGTATTAAAAACACTTGTCTTTCATTGGTGGGATGAAATATGCTAATTTTTTGGGACAGGCATTTTGGGTTTTCATGAGCTGTATGCCATAATCATCAGTATTAAAACAATTAAAGACCTGAAATATTTCAGTTGGTGTGCAATGAATCTGAAATATATGAAAGTTTCATTTTTATCATTACATTATGGAAAATAATGACCTTTATCACAATATGCTCATTTTTTGAGAAGGACCTGTATAATAAAAACACCATTTTATATTAAACAACAGTGTGATCTAACATGCTATAATAAAAATACCATTTTATATTAAATAGTGTGATCTAACATGCTATAATAAAAATACCATTTTATATTAAACAGTGTGATCTAACATGCTATAATAAAAACACCATTTTATATTAAACAACAGTGTGATCTAACGTGCTATAATAAAAACACCATTTTATATTAAACAGTGTGATCTAACGTGCTATAATAAAAACACCATTTTATATTAAACAGTGTGATCTAACGTGCTATAATAAAAACACCATTTTATATTAAACAGTGTGATCTAACATGCTATAATAAAAACACCATTTTATATTAAACAGTGTGATCTAACATGCTATAATAAAAACACCATTTTAAACAGTGTGATCTAACGTGCTATAATAAAAATACCATTTTATATTAAACAACAGTGTGATCTAACGTGCTATCATTTACTGCTGTCGTACATTCTCTAAGATTTGAATAGAAAAAGACCAGTTATTAGGATGTGAGCTCTGTGTGACCTTTGACCTCTTCAGACGGAGTATGAGGACTCGGGATCGGATTTCTGTGACGAGGACTATCTGGGAAAGGCCGGCCCTCACTTGGGGAGCGGAGCGGCAGGAGAGCGCCTGAACCTGAGTGAGATCTTCTCCAACGACGAGCTGAAGCAGGCCCAGCTGGGAGGCTCGCATCAGCTGCAGCTGAAGTCCAGCGAGCCGGTCCATGCAAGTCTGGACAGGTGGGAGGCTTTTAGGAAGGAGTTACACAGTACAATGTCTTGTTGTTTTATGCTTAATCACACGGAGACACATCTAAGTTTATACCTGAGTCAGGCAGCAAAGCACTGTCAGTCCTCCAGAGCTCTTCTGGGTGGTTCCACCACCTGCCGCTGTAGAAGGAAGTGGAGCTTCGTCTGTGTCCGTGTGTCTGTGTCCATGTGTCTGTGTCCCTGTGTCTGTGTCCATGTGTCTGTGTCCATGTGTCTGTGTCCATGTGTCCATGTGTCTGTGTCCGTGTGTCTGTGTCCGTGTGTCTGTGTCCATGTGTCTGTGTGTCTGTGTCCATGTGTCTGTGTGTCTGTGTCCATGTGTCTGTGTCCATGTCCATGTGTCCGTGTCCATGTGTTTGTGTCCATGTGTCTGTGTCCATGTGTTTGTGTCCATGTGTCCGTGTCCATGTGGAATAACTACATATTTTAACACTAATAATGCATTTTGTTTGTTGGCGCCTTTCAAGACCCCAAGGACACAGAATGTAAAACAACAATACTGATGAGAGACTGAAGACTCAGCACAGTCTGATGGCTGCCTTACATAAATAATGCTACTACCGTATCTTCCAGCGAGTAAGTCGTGGTTATTGTCTGTCACCGCTGAGCCCCGGGAGACGTGGGCTGGTGTTGATTGGCAGCTGCAGGAGGAAATGTTGACTCTGATTCTTGTCAGTGTAGATGAACATATGCATGAGATATATTCATCAATTAAACGGATTCTTTCATTTTTCTGGACTGTGTATAATGTGCATTGAATTTAGAAATGTAACGTGAGACGTTAATTATCTTTGACCCATCAAAATGAATGCGGTCATTTATTAACAGAATCAAAGTTTAACACATCACACATTTACATTAATTGGCAAAATATGGAAAATAACAACATGGCTAGTTTAGCAAACTGTACAATTTTGATTGACCACACGGCGGTGGATGAGAACTTTACACAGACATTTCTAAAATATCTGGAATGATTTCTACCTGATAGAAGAATTTAAAGATGGAAAGATGAAGTTTAAAGGGAGAAAAAGATGGGTGAGGGGGTTTGTTTGTGTCAGCATTCAGAACGGCACTCTCCAGGCTTTTCTCAGCTTCTTCCCCAGTACACTTAGGTGTTATAAATCAACTCTTTACCTGGAGATGTCCCTGATACGAAGTTCCATTTAACGCACCCTTTCAGCGTCTCCGTAGGAACAGCTGTGAATCGTCCGAAGTAGTGACGGTATTCCGTCCGACACAAATTCACCTCACGAGTGGACTTCACATGAGTGGAGTCCGTCAGTGTTCCCCCCAGAGGTGGAAGATGTTATAATCCCATAAGACTCGGAAGAGCTCTGTGGTCATGTCAGGATTTTCCTGTTTCCCAGCACGGGAGCTGCCACGACTCCAACTCGACTCTTCTCGAAAACTCTCCGCCACTCTCGACACTCTCCGGACACTGGTTTGAACTAGGAAGTACCGACATTTTAAAGAGCTCTATTTCCGGTTCATCTGGGAGTTTCTGATTGGTCAATATCGACCAGACAGGGGTGTGTTTTGTGACGTAAGAGGTCACTAGGAGTCAGAAAAACAGCAAGAATGTTATGGAACAGATTGAAAATGTTTTTAGACAGACGAGAGGGATATTTAGACGAGTTGGCGGAAAAACAGGTGCCAGCTTCTCTATTTACGTCTGAGAGGATGTAAAAACACGACAGTTCGTTCCAACACTTGTCTGCGTTTGAGTCCAACCTTGGACCAACACTGCTCATTCAAAGACAGAAAATCAGAAAATACATGATTACTCTGTAACAGACCTTAACATGAATTCTAACTTTGCATGAGGATTAAAAATCGTTATTACTGTTTCACAGTTAATAAAAATTGATTAGTTCACTACAACATCTAAAATGGTTTGGACTAAAACACTTTGATTATCAACGTTTGTAAAATAGTAATGATAATAAAAAAGAGTGTTCTTTCACTTGAATTTTCAAGAAAGAAAGTCTCAGGATGGGTCAACCTGTATTTCTGGATGCAAATCAATGAAATAACAAGTTTTGTCCCAGATGGTTCTTAAGGTCAAATCCTGACCTTAGGCTTAGTTCACTACATCCGTGTGAGTGAACATCTCAAGCGTCAGTCAAAAGTTACGTTCTGAACATGTAACAACTATATATCTGTTGTTTTGTCGTATAAGTGGCAGGACTGGAAAATGTTTGCATTTTGTAGCACTTTGAGATGTTTGTTAATGAAAAGTGCGTTACAAATTAAATTCATTACTATTATTATTATTATTATTATTATTATTATTATTATTACTATTATTACTGTTGTTGTTGTTGTTGTTGTTGTTGTTGTTGTTGTTGTTGTTGTTGTTGTTGTTGTTGTTAGAGTAAAAATAAAGAATCTGTAGAAATGACCAAGAAGTTAGTGATAATTCCAACGTGAACTCTGGGTTCTGAGTTGTGGTCTGAAGGTACTCTGTAGGAAGAGAGCCAGTCTGTGGACGTCTTGAAGAAGAGAGTTCCAGAGTTTGGGAGCAGAGTGAGAAGAAGGTTCCCACGGTGCTGAGGGGGAGTGAGGAGGCAGCGAGGGGGGTGGTGGTGATCAGGGCGGGGCTGTGGGTGGTGTTCTTGTCAGCAGGATTTTAAAGGAGTTGCTGTAGGACTGAGGTTATGTGGTGATGTGAGGGGTTTTGATGCGAGCAGCTGGATTTTGGACCATTTGAAGTTTTGGAGCGATGTGTAAGTGAGACCAAAGACAGTCCCAATAACCAGTACGTGGAATAACAAGACTCTGAACAAGAGTGGGAGCAGTGAGGGGAGGGCGGAGTCCATTCATGTTTCCCAGGTGGAAATATGCAGACCAGCTAAAAGTTCATCTCCACCCGATTAACTTTGTCTATCCATTTCAAGATGGCCACCAGACCCCATCAACTTTAGTAAAAACACAAATGACGGTAACTTCGGCAGTTTGACAACTATTGAGTTACACTGGGTGTGGTAGTAGCTGAGAGTCATTCCTAACACATACTCTTGACTCCTGCATCTTTTAATATTGTTGTGATTGTGTGTGATGTTATTTTCATGTTGGGTGGCTGTGGCTCAGTGGTTAGAGCAGTCGTCCTCCAATACAAGAGTTGGGGGTTCGAATCCACCAGCAGTCACATGTCTAAGTGTCCCTGGGCAAGACACTGAACCCCTCGATGCCTCTGATGTGTGTCCCATCAGTGTATGAATGTGATGAAGCTCTGATTAGTCTCTAGAATGATTTGTTCCATTATCTTTGTAGAGATCTAGTATAGAGCTGTATGAACAGGTCAATGAGGCACAGATTGTAGTAAAGAGCTTTGAGTGTCTTGATCAGATAGAAAGGAGCTGTATAAGTACAGTCCATTTACCATTTTCTTGTTCTGCTTGCATTTGAATTGTAGCCACTTTTGTGTTGGCTAAATCCATTTTGCAATGGCGGCCATCTTGAATGGGGTTAACTCACTAATTTAGCAAGTTTTAGAAAGACATTCATTTAATCTGTTCTTAAAGTTTGATTAAAATCCATCCAGCAGTGCACGAGATATTTTGTTAACAGACTAAAGGGTTGACGTCAAAGTTTTACGCAGCATTATGTGTTAGGAATGATTCTCAGCTACTACCACAGCAGTTAGAGTAAATACAGTACGTGCTGATAAGTTGATTAGCTGTGGTGGCCATTTTGCATTGGGATAACTCTTAAAGGTAATAAACTGTAGATGTACATCTACTAATTAATTCATAGAAAAGGGCAGAGTCGCCTTTTTCTTCTGAGAAGACACAGGCCCTTTAACATCTGCAGGACCATGCTGCAGATGTTTTACCACTCGGTGGTCTCTGCAGGACCATGCTGCAGATGTTTTACCACTCGGTGGTCTCTGCAGGACCATGCTGCAGATGTTTTACCACTCG